TGGGGGGGGGGAGCGGGCGGACCCGCAGCATCCTGCCCCTGAAATGCTGAGCAATGCTCAGCAGCTGGACCAGCACTGCCTCTTGCTCAGCTCTCCTCAGTCTGCCCACCCTGAGAGGAGCTGGCCCAGGCCTGGCTGATGTGGGGGCTCCCCCTCATCTCCACCTTCACCTCTCTGTCCTGTGTCCTTGGCTTCTGCTTTCAGCCATATCAGCCGGGAGAAGCAGGCAGGCCAGGGCCTGGCCCTTTCCCTGCTGGGCCACAGGTCAGGGTCAGGTCTGGTCAAGGTGTGAATCCCGCAGCAGCTCTGCTCCGCCACCTTTTAGGTAAAGGTAGTGATAAACTGGAAAAGCAAGTAAAATCTCTGCTATTGTATCCAGCTCTGCCCTTCTCCTTCCAGCTTGCTTTTCCTTTAGCTATTCCTGTTGGAAACCCTTTGGGGCAGGGATTGGCTGATCCCTCATATCCCTCACTTTAGCACAATAGGGACTCTCTCATATAGTTCTTGAGTGTTGCTGCAAATAACAGGGCTCTTGCTGCTAATGATTAATAACCCATAACTGAGTTTCACATGGATGGTGCTTAACAGATGGTCTTGATGTCTGGCATGGTACTGGTTCCCTTCCCATGGGGGGGGCCTGAATGTGTTTCTCTTGCTTTTTGGGGTGGATGTGAACTTTGGGGTAAAAGTGGGAGATTGATAGGCTGACAGAATGCTGACACTTGTGTCTGCAGAACTGGCTGCACACCTCCAGCTCGACCTGCTTCACCCAGCACCATTTCGGTCCCGAGTCCTCGCCTCTGCAGCGCGGTGCTGTTCTGCAGCGCCCAGGGCTCCCCCCTCCCGCACTGCCAGAGCGCCGGCAACCTGCCCTGCAGTGCTCCCAGCCACCCTCTTCCCATGCCCTCCAGCACCTCTGTCAAAGCACCTCCTGCTAGCACAGCCCTGCTCTGCTGGTGCTCAGTTGTGACCCTCAGCATCTGCCTCCTGGCTTTGTTCCTGCACCCATTCTCTCTCCAATGCGCTTCAGCTCAGACCTACAATACTGAGCTCCTTCCACAACTCTGCCAGTGTATTTATAGCCTTAATTGGAGGTCCATCCCTCACTGTGCCGTTTGAACCCTTCAGACTGCTCTGCTGGTCATCCGAGCGCTTATCCGTGACACTCCAGGTTTCAATATCCCTGTAACTCTGACACAGCCCTGCCAGCACATCCTCCTAGCGCCTACTGCAGCCATGTCATGCGGCATTTCAACCAACTGTCCCAGGGCTCTCCCCTCCCTTCCCCTCTCCTTCCAAGCAGTCCTCTCCCTCATTTTTGACACTGGTTCTTCTTCTTCTGGTCCTGCACAGACATCTTTCTGTAGCTGAGTGCTCCTATGGTGGAAGGGGATAGCAAAGTCTGGCTCATAGGTTGCTTGTGAGGAAATGAGAGAAGGATGTCGCAAAATGTGATAGTGGTTAGCCTTGATGTAAAAGGCAGGCAGTAGTCTGCGGGAGAGTCCACAGCCTGTTTCCTGGTCAAGAAATGATAGTTCTTTTCTCCTTGATGACTTTTCCATCTGCCCTGAAAGCTCAGCAAAGCCTCATTTAAGAGCCCTGAGCATAAGCTGTTATCAACTTAAGTGAGAGACAGGCATTTTTTCTGTGTCCTCATTGCAGTAAGGAATCAAGGGAAATGGAGAGCTCAGGGATCTCAGGCTGGTACATAAACTAGCCTGAGATTTTTTTTTTTTTCCTTTCCTAATCGTGCCATGTAGCAAAGCTGGCATGGAAACCCCCTTTGGTCATGAGTAAGGGAGGGGGGAGAGAGAGAGAGGAAAAAGAGACTGCAGACAGCTGGTCTTGTAAACACACGCGTGGTTTATTTTTGTGTTTTCTTTCACTATTGCACGACAGAGGCCCTTGGAATTTGGATCCATGACAGTGTTGAGGAGTCAGATCCCAAGGAGGCCATGCACTCCCTATGTTTCCTGGGATTATTTTTTTTTTTTTGGCTAGAGGGAAATAAAAAATTCATTCTGACTCCTGCCCTACTTGGTGGCTACATTCATGCTGGTTTCGGAAGGAATCAGGTCAGGATCCTGGCCACCCTGTTGTGTTGCCTCCCAGTCCCGCAGTGCTGACCACCAGGGCTCATTCTTGTATTTAACTGTATTTTCCTTTTTTCTTCTACACCCCAGTGAATTTCAGTCTGTTTGAAGAAGCAGATTAGTATCTAGTACAGAGGAAAGGTAAATGTCTTGCAAGCAGTGAATGCTTGTCTGGAATCTGTGTTTAGCGCTCCTTTAAAAATCAGCGGAAAACCTTCTTGTGGCTTAACTTGAACAGGACCGGGCCAAGATCTGGCAGTTGTTACCATGCTGGTGTTATGAGTTAATTCTGAAAACACTGAGTTGATGCTTTCCAGTAGTTGAGCTGCAACCTGCAAATGTAAAACTTGGCACAGTGCATCTTCTCAAGGAGAAAGTCTTTGTAACAGGTTTACCTCCCTGTCAGCAGGGGAGTGAGCCTGGCCAGGCAGGGGACTTCAGCAAGGCAGAGGAAATATTTTTTTCTACGTGAGGACCTTCCTAGACTGGCAGAATCTTTCTCTCTGAAAAATAGGAAAGGAAAATCACAATTCCTCCTTGTTTCACTAAGGGTTTGTCGGATAGAGGGAGGAAGAAAATCCAACTGTGGAACAAAGTTGGGTCTGTGTTTATTGAAAGTCCACATGTGGTGAATCCTCCTGCCTTCCCTTAGCTATTTAGCACCCTGCTGGGTCAGCTGCTTTACCAAAGCCTGCAGCAGTGGCTTCACAGCCCCTCTTTCCACATCCTCATGCCTCAGCTGATGAATAATGCATGCCTCCGATTGACAGATAAAATGAAGAGATTTGTGCGTGTTTTGTCTTAGTGATGAATTAATTAATTTGGTTGCTCCTTTTCTCCTCCACCTGTTTTTTCTCCAGTCCTCCTTAATGGATGGGGAACAGAGGTGCACAGAGGCAATGTGTGATGTCTCATGCGGATTGCCCCAGCCTTCAGAGTACTGATGTGCAGGGGCAGCTATGGGAGCAATGGTGGGTGTGGGGGCATTTCTCTTTTGGTTTTCACTTTGTGGAGACTAGGCTTCCTCAGGCTGTTGCACAAGTCACAGCAAAAAGTGAAGGCTTGTCATGAGGACTGGCAGTGAGCAGTCACCAGATCTTGTAAGTGTAACTCTCAGGCCTTAGTCCATTCTTAGAAGTTCTGTCATTTATACAAAGCATTTCCATCTCTTATGCCTTTTTTACAATTAGCAAATGAGAATGAACGCTTGGACAAATCAAGAGAGCATTTGCATAAAATAGGCAGGTATTCTGCAAACCAGTGTTAAAGCTTGGCCCACACAGCTGTAACAGTGTACCCTCTGTATAATATATATGTCTTACTCCTTGCTGCTCCTCCAGTGTGACCTGTTCTTCGTCTCAAGTGCCTTTGTTACTGCAATCCTGACTTTTCTATAAAATAGGAAACTGATTCCCAGTCCTTGGCACTGCCAGTTCCCCAGTACCAAGCAGGACCTTCCCTGTTCCTCCATCATCAGATTACTTTAAGTAAGGGTTGGTAGCTTTAACAAAAGGGAAAAAATCATTCTATACAGAGCAGTCAGTGATCCAGTAAAATTAAGTTCATTGAGAGCTGAAATTAGGGTTGCAGTTAAGTTCTGCAAAGGTGAAAAGCTAGAAGTCTGTCTACTTTCTGTGGCTTGCCTCTAGTCTCCTATCAACAATGAAGCCTAATTTTTTGGCAAAGACTAGTGATTCTGTATGCCTGAATGTTTACATTCCTTTCCTCAGAGACATTAACAATGACTAATATTTTTAAAGAAAGGTGAAGTCTGCTTAAATTGTCTCAAGCTGGCTATGCAGCAATCTAAGCGTCCAAACTCACTAGTCCCTTGTAGTCTTGTTTAAGGGATATTAGGAAAAATTTCTTTACTGAAAGTGTAGTCAGGCACTGGAACAGGCTGCCCAGGGAAGTGGTTGAATCCCTGTCCCTGGAGGTATTTAAAAGACGGGTAGACGTGGTGCTTAGGGACATGGTTTAGGGGTGGACTTGGCAGTGATAGGTTAACAGTTGGGCTTGATGATCTTAAAGGTCTTTTCCAACCTTAACAATTCTATGATTCTACAGCTGAGCTTTGCCCCCCTGTGCTGAGTCTCTGTAGCTGTTTTGAGAAAACACAGCATTTGGTAGTTGAACACAGGAAAATCTGGTATATGCAAAGGCTGTTTCCTCAAAATGAGGTCACTATTTGACTTACTCTTTGCATACTTTTGTATGA